CTTGGATTAGCCTCCAACTAATTCCTAGTTCCTCCTCCTCATCATCATCCTCAGAAGGTGAAGATACTAATGATGCAACAGAGAGCCCCCAAACCTTCAATGAGGAGCCGATACTCCGGAGATCCAGGAGACAGGTGAAATGGCCAGAAAGGCCCATAGAGGTCTGTGAATAAGTTAAAGGGACCTGAAGAATAGGAAAGTGAGTGGTAAAGACTCACTCCAGAGTGAAGTGCTGATAACCTCTCCTCTGTAGATTATGGGTTGTTTGGTGTGGTGGTGGTTTTGTCTAGCATTGTTGTTGTGTTGTTGTTGTGGAGTTTTTGTTTTTATATTGTGATGGTTTGTTTGTTTTTTTAAAGGGAAGATGTAGTGATAAGAATTAGAATTTGGAGACAGTCTCTTACAAGGGAACGTCTTATCAGATGAGGAATTTGAACATGATCCCTGAGGAGCAAGGGGAAATCAAGATGGAGGCAGCCATATGGTCTGTGCTATAGGAACCCCCTGTTGCGGTATCATTAAAGGCCTGTTCTCTTCCTCATTCATAGTTGTCCTTATTCACTTTGGGACCTAAATCATTACATTCCCCACATCCCCAGGGTGGGGAGGGATTGCCCCCAGGGTGCAAAGGGATTGCCCCTGCCTCCCCAGGGCAAGGAGATTGCTGTAGTGGTGGTCCTCCAGACCTGGATGCACATGGGACTTTAACTGTCTGCCTCTACAGCCCAGGGAATCTTGGCTTCTGTTCTGTAAAATGGTACACATTCAACACAGCTGGGGAGGGGGAAGAGTGCCTTATGGTGCTAATGTTTAGGATATTATTTTAAGAGATGAGAAGTGTGGACTTAGGCTCAAGTCTTCACTATCCTAGAGGAGGGCTTTATCTGAAAGGCAACTGAAAAAGGGAACACTAGCACCCCTGGCATAAGCTGTGTTTTAAAGAAGGGAGTGACTCTGATTTGGTTATTCACAGAAGTGACTTAGGTCCTTAATTCAAGAAGGCAGTTCAAGGCTGCAAATCCAAATGAATGTAGTTCATTAACCCTGTTATCATCTTTTCTTGTCAAATGGGGAAACTGAAGTTCAGAGAGGGTAGCCTCTAGGGTAGGCAGCCATGTAAGCTCCAAGAAGGGCAAGGCTGAAGATACATCCCTCACTTCAGTGTTTCCTGTAGTCTGCCACAGGCAGTTTTGTTACTTAAATTGCCAATTGCTCAAATCACGAGTGAGACTTTATAAAGGGGGATAAGGCAAGGTGCCGCGTTTATTGATCACATGAGTTAGACATAGAGGTTCGGGCACACCATTCACACACAAATCATCATACACATCATTACATAAAGGCCTACATATACACAAAACAACCATTTCATCTACACATACACCAGATATAGTTACCAGCAATAGTTGTTCAATATCAGCCCAGGGTGGCTAACCCAGGCTTACTGAGTAGATGATGATGAAGATAGCAGATTTGAAGATAACAGCTGGAGCAGGGTGAACAGATGCATCTGTGCTCTGATGAAATAGCAGTAGAGAAAGAGATGCACCCAACTTGGCATTTTCAAAGTGTTCTTTTATAGGGATTGGCATCCTTTGTTTCAGTGTTTTGGTGTTTTTCTATACCCAACTTTTGTTTTTGCAGTTGTTCTTCTTTTGTCTTCAGCTTATCTTAGCCTTGGAGTGTTCTTGCTGCCCATCTGTCAGGATGGGTGCATTCCTTCTCCTCATTATCTTCTTTGTGCCCTAGGCTTAAAAGGGATTCTTCAGCCATTCATTGATTAGTTTACTGACTGGTAACTTACATTTGGTGCCTTGTTGCTTACATAAACAGTTAAATCTTCTTCTCCCATCTCTATGCCATTCTCTCACCATTCACCCTTTTACACACACTCATAGAGTTTATGTAGAGTTCATTCACTTACGTCAAGCAGAAGGATACAAAATGGAGTTTTCAAGTTGCTTACAGGACAAGACTAACATGGTTATATTTTACTATTATTACACTCTATGTTAACATCAGCTACATTAGTTCAGTTCATGCTACAGCTCTCCATTTGGTGTTCTGGCATTACCTTGCTTCTTACTCAGCCATTTGGCTGTTTTGGATCCCAGGGTGAATGCCTCTCTCTCCAAGCCAGGATCCAAGAGTTATGCATCGCAACATTCTGTGCTAGAACAACTTATATCCCTTTGTATAATTTTTCCTAGCCTCCTTGGGCTTCAACTTCGCCATCTGTCAAATGAAGATGATGGTGCTGTTTGACTGACCTGGGGTTGTCAGGCTTAATGAACTAATGCTAAAATAGCACTGCTACTGTAGGATTCATTTCCCCAGTGTAACCCAGTGGAATTGCTTCTAATGCAAGCAAGGGGAGGCCTATGTCCTGTCAATAGCAGTTATCACTATTAGGAAGCAGTTGTATCTATCCTCACCATCTCCTTGTTCCATTTATTAATACAGCACTCTTGGGAAAGACTTGTTCATCTGGTAGATACAGGCTGGACAGCCTCTGAACCTGGTTGAGGGGAGGAAAGGAATGCCCCAAAGCACATGGGCAGAACCCCTGCTGACTTTGGCTTGGGTCACAAGTATTTTAAAGAAACCCACTTTAATTCTGGACAACTGAATATTAACAGGTGAGTGGGTGATTCAAGGAGGCTATTCCTCAGCCTGTCTGTTTCTGAAGAGCAACTAACAACATCACTAAACCCTCAGACAACATTTATCTTCAGCAGACTCACAGCACACCACAAAGGAGGACAGTGCCATTATACCCATTTTACAGAAGGGGAAATTGAGGCACAGAGAAACAAGCTGATTTGCCCAAGGCCATTCAGCAGGCCAATGACATGGTCAGAAACTGAACCCAGATTTCCTGAGCCTTTGTAGAGATCACCGTCTAAAGGGGAACATTGCCTAAGCTTGATTCTCAACCCTTCCTCATGCAGAACAGTGCGTACCCAGGGGGCTCACTGTTCTGTGGGCTGATCAGTATGAGTTCTACAATGCAGCATGTGGCAATGCATTTTTTTTTTTTTTACTACAGAGGCATAGCCAGAGAGAGTGCAGGACAAAGCTCAGCATCCACAAGCTACACCTTGCTTGGGAAAGTTATGTGCATCAGTCTTGCTGTACATGTCCTCACATATATCATGTAGTTTGGAAGTTGTCTGATTGCGTAATTAGCATATTTCTGGCTTTGGAGTCCACTGCACAAAATAGTGGACAACAGCTTTGTATCAGTCACAATGTAATGCTATTTTGCTGATACCCAGGATCATAATAAAGTAGGGCTGGAAGGGACCTCATGAGATCATCTAGTCCAACCCCTTGCTCAAGGCAGGATCATCCCTGAATAAACCATCCCAGCTTTCTCTCTGTCCAACCTGGCCTTGAAAATTTCCAGGAAATCGAAATTCCACAACTTCACTAGGTACTCTGTTCCAATGCCTGACCACTCTCATAGAAAGCTTTTTCTAATCACCATCCTAAATTTCTTCTGTTGAAACTTGAGGCCACTTCTCCTACTTCTCCTTCTTGAAGTGTGGGGCCCAAAACTGGACACAGTACTTCAGATGAGGCCTTACCAGTGTTGAATAGAGCAACTTCTGAAGTGCCAGAGGACATGTTGCCCTGAGCCTTTGCTGGGAAGGGCAGCATATACAATGAATAAATAAATAAATAATGACTACTACCAGAGTGGTATATGGTAAGCATTGTCCTTTGATGGGGCCATACCTATGGTCAAAGAGCAGTGTCAAATGGGCTCCCATAGGTGTGATAGCTGGGCAGACTGATGGAGCTAATATAGCACTGGCCTTCTCATCCACCCAGACACATATGACTTGGAAAACTTCTGCTACTACTGTTCAGTAAACAACCAAAACAAAGGTAATAAAAAACATAGGCTTTAAATGATAAATATTGTCCCGGCTGCTAGCACCACCACACAACTATAAGTCCTATAAGTGACAGTGAGTCTCCCCAGCTTCCAAACGGTCACAGCATGGAGTTCAAATGTCTCATTTTCAATTCCAAGTATCAGAAATTCAAGTCAGCCCAGGTAGCCCATATGTCAGGGGAGGTTAGACCTGGACTACTGAATTGCAGGGCCTCATACCACATGGGAATCAAGCCTGGATTCTGGTTCCCAAGGCACCACAGCTCAGGGAAGTCCAAGCCTTGTGAACAGGTCCAGACCTATCTCTAGCATTTTCTTTTAAAACTTTTTTTGTGTATGCTGCTTCCATGGCTGAAATGTTCCGTGTTTGTGTTGCCTAAATAAAGTGGCTTGCTGCTGTTTTATCATTTGTACCCCTCAAGCCATGATTCACTGACCTCACTGAATTTAGGGAAAGGCTAGATATCTGAATTCCACAGCTGGCCCCTATCTCACTGAACTGCTGAGCCAGTTCCAGGTCCCTAGTTTCACAGCCATGACAGTGTAATTATCAGGCAGGATGGGGTCAAGGGAGAACTGGGTCCTTTTTCAAAAGAATGTTTGCAGTTTTCTTCAACTGTAATAAGAAAAACAGATTCTAGTGTTTGTAGCATTTGATGTCACCTTCCCCAACTGCAACCTGCTAGGAAGAAGCTAAGATGAAATCAGTGGGAGTTTGGCCCAATAGGAAAGACAGAGCAAAAGCTAAGGAAGATGCTCAGGATGAGCATGGCTTTGACAGCAGTGTGGCAGCATTTGTCCCCTCTGGGCAGCAATTTGGCTGTGAGTAACAGACACAGAGGTGTGCAGAAAAGCAGAAGATTCAAGCAAAGGGCAAGAATCAGTGTAGTTCTTATATCTCTGCTTGCCGCTGCTCCACTCCAGATGAGGAAGGCACACACTGACTGTGAGAGCCATGCTGCTTCCCAAACTGGATCTTCTCTCACTGCCTTTGTACTTGCCTGACAATACAAGAATAAAAATAACCAGCCTGCATTTGCAGAGAGATAAAAGCGAAGTTTGCCTTTTGTGTCTCACTGGGCAATAGGGCAGCAGCACCAATGGAGTTGTGTGGACATGACACATGGGAATTTCTGACATATCTCTTCCCACTCTGACCTTGACAGACACAATAAAAAGGGGCTTCACTGCACACACACAGCCACTCAGTCCTAAAACCAAGGTTAGTAATAAAGAGCATGTTTGCTGTGTGCATGCCTATTCCAGATTACTAACCCACTTCACTGCCAGCAAAGTACAAGTTACCTAAGGAAAGGGACTGACATACTAACTCTAAAGTGGTGCAGGGGAGGGTGATTCTGGCCAGCATGATTGAGATGTAGAAATGGACAGAAAAAAATGCACATTTAATAAGATCTGTACAATCTGCAAAGTTACTAACTAGTAGCACTTGTTGAAGCATTAGATGCGGCATTGCTGTTCGGTTGCATGATATTGTTTTGTATAGACAAAATGAAGTAATATCATAATAATATCACTTGTCTGAACAGCCATTGCTGCACCTACCTAGAAGACACCAGTGATTTTTTGTGAGTTTACACTTCAGCTCTTATTGTGACTGTTTTCCAATGCTAACTCTGGAGCAGGAGAATCTTATCTTCTCATGGGATTTACAAAAGTGACATATATGTTGACAGTACTAAGAACTAGGAACTGTTTTAGCAGCATTTATCGTGAAAATGGGGTTTAATGTGGACTCTTTTGCTGGTGAAAGAAAATATAAATGTGCAAAAGACAGACATCAATAGCATCAGAACTAAATTCCACTTTAAATCTCAATACAGTCAAGATATGCATTGCAGCTAGTAATTACACTAGAAAACCTGAATTTGTAGTTCATTGTCAATATATTTATTTATAGCCTCAAGTTAATGGCATGTTGAAAACTGTCTCATCTCTAGGCAGCCAGGAAGCAGGTATTTTCTCTCTTAATTGATCCCTTGTTTCTGTTTCCCTCTGTTTCAGTGCTCTGGAGGCTTTGGTTCAACTCTTTTTGCTGCTGCCAAACTTTTTTCTTTCTACCAGGCAAGATGTCTATGTTAGATATGACCGAGTTTGGGGAGGCTGCTGAATACCTCCGGAAAAGCTACACAGAGCAACTGAAGCTTCAAACCATCCCATTTGATGGTAAGATCAGCACCAGTTTGGAGCATGACAAAAGCTGGTAATGAGGCAGCTCACAGCCAGGTCTTCCTTTGTAAAGTGTTCCCATCTTCCTTCCCTTCCCTCGTAGGGTTTTATAGCATCATTTGGTCTCCATTTTCCCCAAGATAACAGGAACAGGAGAATCATTGTACCTGCATCTCTGTTCTTCTGCTCACTTGTAAGAAGTTAGAGGACCAGAAGAACTCAGCACTAGGGAGAGGCAACAGCTGCTTTTGGTGCTTTCTTTGGTTTGTGATGTGGCTGCTCATCAGCACCCAGATAGTATGCAGAAGTCCTGAGTGACGTAGCAACAATAAAGGGTCTCTATGGGCAATACTGGCTAAGTGAAACTTTCTATAGTTCCATTTCACTTTGTAGATTGACAGAAATCACTGTAGAGACTTTCTTGTCATTCTCTTATCATACTGGAGCCAGATATTCTATTACCAGTATCAGAGAGCTAAAGTGTCTAGGCATAAACCTGTTTTTGTTCACTTGGTTCTTCTATAGATACTATAGGACTAAGGGAGGGAAATGCAAAGAACAAGAATTGTGCTTTCTATAATTCACATTTTTCCAGAAGCATGCATATGCATCAAAGAGCTGACTTAAATTAATATTAAAAATAATCAGGACAAATTAAGCAGATCAGGAATGAAAATGACTAGGAAGTCTCAGATGAAATTATAAAAAGCACAGGAAGGAAAACAAAGTTGTCCCTCAAAATTACCAGAACGTGTTCTTGGTTTCTGAAAGCTATTGATAATTGCAGAGGGTTTCATTAGTTTCCTTTCCTTTCCTTTCCTACCTTAAGGAAAGAAGCGAGCGTGGATACCAGATGAGAAGGAAGCCTACCTTGAGATTGAAATCAAAGAATCCTCTGGTGGCAAAGTCATCGTGGAAACCAAAGATAAGCAAGTAAGCAAAGCAGTTTTAATTTTTCAAGTGGATGGCTGGAGGAGTGGGGGAAAAAGGAAAGGAAAGGAATATGTGTGTGAGGGGATGTATGTCTGAACAGATTGTATCTGACACTAGACAAGTTCTAATTCACAGCATTCAAATGATCAACATTCAATCCTTCAGCTTAGTACTGAACATGCCTTTTGTTACACAGAAGTGTATTATATGACAAAGGACAAATACTTTCCAAACATGCCAGTGTTTTAATATACTGCCATCAAATGCTCCATTTAAAAAAATCCACCATAAAAGACAGATTGCAAGAATGAGAGTAGGACTTCCCTGAGCCAAGACATCAGCTGGTATCCTAACAGCTGTAACAATAGTCAACAGGAGAAGACTAGTCATTCTTTGAAAACAGCCTGTTGCGACATAGAACTGCATTATTCAACAAATCTTGCAAGAGAAAATCATTTGCAGCTGGAGATAAGGGCCCAAATTTTACTTTGCTTATTCTGAAGCTCCATCAGCATAGCAGAGAAGAGCATTTTTCCTATTTTATGTATAGGTATTGCTACACCAGTCACTGCCATAGTATCTTCAAGCTACAGTTTTGGTAGATTGGTTTTGGTACATATGATTAAAGATCTGTTCTTTTCCTATAAAGCAATTGTTATGCACACAAGGCCTAGTTCTGAACTTTGTTGCACCCCTATCAGTCCACCAGGCCTCACCTCATTTACCCCAATGCCAATGGGAAATCAATGGTGTTACACCAGTATAGGGTTGCTCTCAGATGAGATTTATGGACATAGGTGAAGTTACTCCCAATTGAATGGTGCCAGGGGTCAGAATCTGCTTCTGTGAATTTATATTGTCAAAATAATATGCAGTAAAAATAATAATGTATAAGCTGGAGCTGAATTCTATTTCATGACACCAGTTATATAAGATAGCAGAGGATTTCTTTACTTGCATTTTTAATGTGATGATCACTACACCAAGCAGTAACTTGTATCTCTCTAAAGCTGGAGCTGATTGAAAATAGATTTTATGTCCCATGGAAGTTTGAAGTATTTGAAAATAGTTCCTACAGAACTGGGACAAAAAACCACATTTTTTTCCACAAAACAAAATTCCAACAAAATGTTTTCTTTCAAGAATTATGGAAATTTCACTTTAATTCCTGGAATTTTTATGTAAAATAAACTACATTTTGAAACAAAAACACTGATGCTTGGTGTTTTGAAAATACCAATGTGGAACTATAGGACCTTTTTTGTTTGTTTGTTTGTTTGTTTGTTTTTTGTTTGTATAAAATATTTTGGTTATGTCAGCTAGATTCTTTCAGTGTAGGTTTCCCAAACAGCTTTGTCTAAATCATATCTATACTCTGATTCCCAGTGCCTCATTTTAGCCAAAAACAGATCTCCCTGGTACATTTACTATTAGCTAATAAAAATCTCTCTAAAAGCTTTGCCTCAACTCTTATTAACAGGGACATTTGCTGAATTCAGCCTCTTGCAGTCAGGCACAGATGTGTAATGTGAGAGTTTTCCAGTGCTTGGACTGAGAGGATTAAATACATCCAGTTACAAGTGATGAACTATACACTTCAGCTGTCTGTCTAAATAAACCTCCATGATTAAAAGATTGTACCATATTAGGTTGTTCAATCGGGGGTTGGGTTAGATGATCTCTTGGAGTCCCTTCTGACCCTAATTTTCTATGATTCCATATTATTTTAGGCTATGTATATCAGAATAGGCCCGCAAGCATATCACCTAAATGAAAGAGTAAGCAGATAGTAGCAGGAGCACTCAATTGTCACCAGTGATGGGAAAGGCCTGGTAGAGCTGCCAGACTGTATCCAGATGAAATGCACTGCTCTTCCCCATTGTAAGCTGATACCATGGCTAAACCTTCCTAGAAAAGCCAGACAAGTCCCTATCACTGTGGAGATGAAGGTGGGAGAGTTTGGTAGGAGGTGGTGGGATCTGTCTAGATGCTTCTCACTGAGCTGTTATGCCTGACAACTGTAAGAAGGTCTGGCAGAACGGGGACATCAAAGGGAGTGGGGCTTCCACCTGGGATGGGGACAGTTAGGACCACTTCTTATGGATCCACAGGCATTAACACTCTTAGAAGATTCTCTGGCTCCCCTGAAGGTGTGGAATGTTTTGGAGGGAGTGGCCTTTGGGGGAGCCATTGATAAGGAGCTTTGTGGGATGGAGAAGGAATGTGGCCCCTCATGGAGGGAGGTAGCTGTGACTGACAAGAGGCTGACCCTGGGGGATTTTCACAGGAATTTGGGTGGTAGTTGGACCATAGGGTAAAGTTTTTATCAGTTGTGTTTTATCATACTCTGTCTAAGCATATGCTCACTTCTCTTTTTTTTTTTTTTTACACAATTTGATCTTCCTTGTAATAAGCCCTTTTCTGTTTCTGTTATTTTACCAAAGTGCCTGTGGTAAACTGTGATTTCTAGGCAAATTAATAACCTAGGCATACCCATTTGGAATACTGGGGAACCAAGAAGCTTACACAAACCCAGGGTGTATCTCTGGGAGCACCCCACCACCCCAGGGTTTTGTCTGGGATAGTGGCATGGTTGAAGAGCTGGCAGTGACTGATAAGGGATGGATACCAAGGGGGTATAAAATGCTAATTATTGCTTCAGTCATCCTCTTTCCTCAGTACCCAGCCTCCATCTTCCACTTCAACACCCATTGATCTTTCATAGCAGAAACAGTGCATGATGCATCTCATGGTCCTCCCCAACATTTGCTCTGTTGAAAAGAAATGGCTGTGGCTTTTCAGGGCCATGGCAGGTTAAGTGAGGGAGGGGGTCATGGCATCTCTGAGTACTTGGTGGGGAGCCCTGATCTGAAAAGCATCTCTGCAAAATGCTAGAATAGGGATAAACCTCCAGGGGCTCTGAGTGCTTGTGTGTCATGTTGGGGAGAGCATAAGAACAATGATTGTGGATGGAATTTGGACTTAGAATTTGAACAATATCTGGCTAAGCCACGCCCTTTCCTTCTTGCCCATCATCATCATCATCTCCCCCCCACCAAGAAAGACAAAATTCTACCCTCAGTGATGACATTAGCGCTTCCTATGGGCCTGACAGGTGTCACAGATTAGGGTTTAGCAAGCAACTCAACAGATGCTGGATCTAAAGGAATGGCTGCCTGGGTCCCTTTCTTGGAGTGATGCTGGCTCAGCAGGCTCAGGGGAGCCGAAAGCAACAACAGCTCATTTATGGCATTTAAGCTGAGAGCTGCACCTCTTCCAGAAGGAGCGTGTGTGGAGAAAGATGGAGCCACAGTTTCAGAATAAATTTCCTGAGCAGTGCTGCAATATTACACAGGACTGGAGGCAGAAGATAGGTGGGAAAGAGAGGCTTTGCCACTGACAGACCCAATGCTGAGGAGAGGCCTGGGGAACTGCAGCTCAATCTATGCTCTCCCTTAGACACTGAAAGTATTTCCCTCATGGGCTGTGGTTCTGAAACCAAGGTCTGATGGTCAGTGCTCCACAGCTGATCCATGGACTGCACTGCATCTCATGTGCTGTAATAATGTTTTCAATTTAAAATTTGACAGTGCATGGTGGATTGTGAGAAATCTTAAATGTTGACAGTGTTCTTTTGGTCCAGAAGTTTGGGGACTACTGCTCTAGAGTAAAAAAAAAATTGACCATCTGAGAGTCACAAGAATGCAAAGACCTGGCTAAGACTGGGCCAAATGATTCAGCTGCCATTTACACTGGAATAAATCAAAGTACTTCCATAAACAGGATTATTTTGACATAAATGAGATTAGAATCAAGTACTTTGTGCAAAAGAACAGGGGCTAAGAGAAGATAGATGGGAATGAGCAGCAAGATGCCATAGCAGTGCTTATGATGACTGAGAGACCTAGTCCAGGGTTGAAGGAACAAGCCACTTTGCAGTGTATGTGAAATGCCTCTTCTTGAACCTCTCTCACTCTGCCTTGTTTCCTCCCTCCAGACTCGTGTTGTCAAGGAGGATGACATGCAGCAGATGAATCCTCCCAAGTTTGATATGATAGAAGACATGGCTATGCTGACTCACCTAAACGAGGCCTCTGTGCTGTACAACTTAAAGCGCCGCTATTCCCACTGGATGATCTATGTGAGTCAGCCTGGCTTCCTACCCAGGGGCAGAGATAGGGATAAGCTTTGTACCAGCATAGTGAAGAGTTCCAAAGTCTGGTTTAAATATCAAAAGTCTGAAACAATACATTTCTCTTGTCAATATGGGCAGCCCTTATTATCCCAGCTACCCAGCCATGCTAGGTAGGGGCGAGCTTCAAGGACACTAAACCCATTGCTTAGGAACTTTTTCCGTTCAGTGTTCCTTACAACAACAGGAACAGTGTTCCTGTTCCTTATAACAACATGTGAGTTAGATTCCCCCAGACATTTGTACTTTGTAAGTGGCAGATTTATCATGGAGTCATTAGATTCACTTGGAAAACATGATCAAGAGAAATAGGACTCGAGGCCAGTCTTGAGATGCTAGGAAAAGAGACCCACTTACCTCAGAGTCTGTAAAACTAAACAGAATGCCAGGACATTTTCAAAAAGGCTGAAAGGACTTCTAGATACCCTAAAGTCAACCTCCCGGAACACCATTAGTAAGGCTACCAGCCTCAGGGAGGTGTCATAGTTGAAAAAGGCATTCTAGAAGAGCTGTTATTGTTAAGGTCAGCTATCCAGGTAGAGGGGAGGTTAGTGATTGGAAAATCAGCTGCCCAGGGGATAGCAGTAGAATATCACCATCCAGGTAAGTGGGCTGGTATCATAGGCACATTCGTGCTATTAAGGCCACTTGCATCCCTGGTATCTGAAAGACCACCAGTGAAGCCTGGGGTAGGCAGGTCTCCTTGTTTCCAGTGTGCAAGTGAGTGAAATGCAGAGTGAAATTTCTGAGTGAAATGCAGGGACTTTGCACAGTCTTTCTTCTATATGGAGGCAGGTGTGTTATCCTTCATTCACACACCTTCCTTCTGTCCTCAGACCTATTCAGGATTATTCTGCGTCACTATAAACCCATATAAGTGGCTTCCAGTCTACACTGCCCCTGTGGTAGCAGTCTACAAGGGAAAGCGGAGGTCTGAGGTCCCACCCCACATCTACTCCATTGCAGACAATGCCTACAATGACATGTTGCGCAGTAAGTCTGTCAGCTTTCCTCACATCCCTGCCTTCTCTCCACTGAGACAGGTGCCCATCTTTGCACAGTGAGGAAGGGAAGCCTGGTGATACACTAAAATCCATTCACAAAAAAAATCTAAGACATAACAGATATGGGTAGGGTTGCCAACTCTGAATCTGTAACAAGAGGTTTCATCACATGACGTAATGACATTAATTACAGTGCACAGATTTTATGTAAGGAAGGCAAATGCACATTACTGTTACATTTCAAAAACCATTACCTGGATTGCTGTATAAATCAGATTCAACATTTAATATTTAATTTAATCAATGCCCTATCATTTATCTCCTGCGTGACTCTCAGCAGTCTCCTGGAGATTTATGTCTAATTCCTGGAGACTCTGGGGCAATCTTGGAAGGTTGGCAACTCTAGATACTGGGGTAGACCCAAGCCCAGAACAAAGGCAGCCACCTGGATCTGGATCAGAACCTTGTGGTTTTGGACCAGTACTAGGCAGGCAACTTGTCAATCTTTCTGGATCATGGTGTACGTATGAAACATCACCAGGACCTTTGATGCGTATGCCTAGACAAGAATATGGAGGATTGGAGGCTGCCCAGACCTTGCTTCCCCCATTTAGACCATTGAGACAGCATCCAAAGGCCAAACTGGGTCTGGACAGTTGGTGCCTTGCTGCTGTAATTATGTGTGCATCCAGTCATCGAACCAGGTCTCCCATATGGCAGACAAGGATTTTATCACTGAACCATAACAGTGGGTTGGACCAACACAAATGGCATTTATTAAAAATAATAAAAAATACATAGCACATTTCATCCAGAATAAGCAGAGCCTGAGTGGGCTTTAGAAACTGTCTCTCCATATATAACTGTACTTCATCCTGATGTCTGGCTGCTTCCCAGCTACGTCTTGAACCAGGTTTCCAGTGACACTGCAGAACAGCCTTTTAATAGGGGAAGTAACCAGTAAACTATGTAACTGAAACCCTAAGCAGGAGAGGACAAAAGGGATTTCAGTGGCACTAGCTTGTTTTTCTAGGCAGTCTGTGGAGGGAGCACACCGAACTGGGTCTAAGCTCTTGCCATCAGTACCCAATCTAAAGAAAGAGCCACAGGCTCATCAGATAAAAAAAGAACCCCCTTAGAAATGTAAAGACAATAGAATCGATCCCAGCATGGCTGCCACTCCCACACAGCTTCTACATGCAGTCTGGAAGCACAGGAACTACACTGGGGTTCTTTCTGATTGGGAAAGCTTCACAGCACTAAGCCAGATGCACAGGGTCCAGCCAGGGAATTTCTGTGAATGAAGGGAAGATGCCTCGACATGTGTGTGTGATAGGCCGTGGGGAATTTTCAGGGGTCTTTCTTGTTACATCCATCCTAGCACATTCCAGTCTAACATCTACTCCATCTCTTCCAGATCGTGAGAACCAGTCAATGCTCATCACGTAAGTAACCCATGCTGCTTTCTCTGCCTTCACAGCCAGTGTCTTTAGCTTAAATGCCTGAGGCCCAATTCTCCTCCCCAGCCCCTCCCCCCCCCCCAAAAAATGAGTTGTACAAGTTGTTATTAGGGTTACTAACAGCCCTTTATGCTCCCATATCTCGTTCCAACCTCCAAGGGAGGCCAGGATTTATCCAGGGAAAAGCATCCTCCCCCACAAAAAAGTGACACCTCATCCCATGAGTCCTAAATTGCATTGGGTGCTTTCCAGCTGTCAAAGCCACCCAGTTCCTCATAAGGCCCCTGTCAGACCCAACCACATGCTAGCACCCCAGAATACATCTCTTTCATGCACCCATCACAGCTGCCAGAAGCTGCCCAGATGGAGATTGCTCATCCAATTCTTGTTCAACCTTACCAGTAGACTCTACCCTGCCACCAGGAAGCAAAGTATTTCCACAACATAGATGCTGGGGGCTAAGCTGCAGCTGGGAAAGTAAAGGCATTGTCCTCTGGGACTAACACACATGTTCCTTAATGTTTCTGTCTGGAAATGTAAGGATATGGGCAAGGCCAGGGTGGACAATGTGGAAGGCAAAAGCTGAGGCGAGTGGATGATGAGGCAGGAGGCCAAGATCAGGTGCATGATTGGGGAGGAGGCAGGCCAGGTTAATTTTAAGTGACACATAGATAAGGGCTATATAAAGTGCTCTGAAGGACCGTACCCTGCTGCCAGGAGCCACTGACATTCTTAGCCTCAGCCATAGCCTAATTAGGTAATGAAAGGGCTAAGACAGAGATGCTTGGCTCTTGTCCTGTAGAGGCTCCATTCCCTCTCCGGTCTCCCATAGCCCTGCTCTTTGTGATCTGGGATTACAATAGGAGAGCAGCTAACTATAGGAATGAAATCACTGCAAGACCTTCCAGAGAGCCAGTGCCAGAGGACTGTGCAAAGGGCAGCGTGAATAGCCTATGTGTTACAGATATTCAGTCCCTGGCACTCACCTGGCCTCTAGGGGCCCCATAATCCTGAGTCATTGTACTAAATGGAATGAGCTTACTCTGGATAGAAGCCCCTCTCCCCACTCCAATGCACTATGCATGTAGGTGAAAATGTCTGAGAATGTGCAGGAGGAGAATGGTTCCTCAGTGACCCCCAGAACTGCTGGGTCCACAGACATGCACTTCATGACAAAAATCGACAGAGGCCAGGAACAGTCTGCATTGGCTCTGGGGAAGGGCAGTCCTTCTGCACCAGGACCCAGGAAGCAATTGCCTTTGTGTGCATGGAGGGTTTGCCCAGGTATCCCAGCCCTTTGATAGCTGCCCCCAGTGGAGCTGCCCCAGTGACAACTCTTAATGTAGAATGGCAGAGTCCAGGTACATATCAGATCAAGTTACTTCATTGCAAATTCCAGCAGTTCTGCTTTCCTGTATTGCTGTTGATGGTGCTGTTGCCTTGGCTAGGAACCCCTTTGCAGACAAAGCCACTGACTCCTTTTCGGTCCACCATAAAATCAGCAGAGACCAAGGGTTGTGACAGTGCCCTGAAGTTTTGTTTTTCTTATGCGACACTGCTAGCGGGTATCTGGGCCATTCTCTTGTTTTCTCTTGTAAAGTCTCTGTGTAAAGTGTTGCTTGTTTCTGCCTCATTTTCTTGATCTGTGTATTTCTGTTACCCTAAGCGGAGAATCTGGTGCTGGTAAGACTGTAAACACCAAGAGGGTTATTCAGTACTTTGCCATTGTCGCAGCCTTGGGCGACACACCAGGCAAGAAAACAGTAAGGCCCTTGTTTGACAGAAACTTCTTCTGTTTCTTTTTTCTTTCTTCTTCTTTTGTTTTTTCTTTCTTTTACCTTTTTAATTTTTCTTTTATCCTTTTGGGATTTGGAGGCATGCGTGGATCAGGATCTGCCAGGACTTTGCTTTTCCTTTTCCTTTTGAACAAGCAAGGTTTGAAACAACTGCTCATAGAGAAATGGAATTTTAAGTGGCAGCACCAAATGGCTCAGGTGCACAGAGGTAGTTGGAGGTGCCTGCCAACTCCACCCCAACAGATTTTCTTTTTCAGAAGTGAAAAGGGAACTGACCTCATGGCCATTTCCATTCCTGCCTCTTTTAAGCCTTTCTGCTTTTCTTTTTTCTTCTTCCTTTTTTTGCTCTTTTGTTAATTTTGATACTTTTCCATCTTGCGTTTTTTTTTTCCTGCTCTTGTTTTGATTCTTTCTTGTATTTCTTTGGTGTTGACTATTTTTGAGCTACCCTTACTGTTCCTTATTTCTTGTGGATGCTTGAAGCTCCAGCCTGCTTTTCCTTCACAGAAGCAAACTGGTTGCTTTTGGTATTAGCCAAGCAAGTTTTCAGCATTGTTTTCCTTTCCTCTTCTCTGGATTTGGATTTAACTGTTCTAGCTTTTTGTTGCTTTTCTTCTTTTTCTTGACCTAATCTCTTTAACATCTTTTTGTTGTATTTTTTTTTTATTTTAATCCTTCAACCTTTTGGACATTTTTAGTAACTAAATTTTAACATCCTGCTTTTCTGATGATGCTTTCATGTGATTCTGACCTGTCTTATCTTGAATTCTAAAGGCAGTTGTCTTTTCTTTCTCTAGCAAGCTCCTGCCACTAAAACTGGGGTAAGTTTACAAGAAACAGGGTCCCTGTCCTCAAGTCTGAGAACCAAATTCTAAAGCAGCACCTTAATTCCTACCTATGTTAGAGAGTTGTTTGACTTGGTTCTGATATCACTTATGACAGGGCAAGTCAGGAATAACCCTATTGCATTAGGGAAGTGTCTTCATTATAAAACTGGTGAGACCAAAATTACCGGTAAATCCCTCTGCACACTACTGAGTTTTGTTTTTGTGAAATATCTAGATGTTTTATACCAAGAAAATGATGTTATAGGAGCTGAGATGATCCTAGAACTGGTAAATCCATTGTATTGATAAGTAATTGTTTCTGTATATAGTGTAGGGGATGGAGTTCGGAGAGGCAGTAGAGGTGCTGAATTAACAGATCAATTTACAATCACAGCAAATCACATAAAGGACCTAAAGTGTCATCTTTGTACAGGATCCCATTACTGCTCCAAGGACACAGATCCATACTAAACCAATATACTGTGCTTTGGCAATCCTCCCTCCACAGCACAGTACTATGTAGTAAAACACTCTGGCATTAGATAAAAAGCCATGCAATGAAAGGGTTGTGATTCCCTGAAGTGTTTCTGGAAGTGGTGTCAGTAAGGCAGGGTGAATTTTTCTGGGGAAAAAGTGCAAGCAACCCCAAACCTGAGACAAAACCAGCTTCTCTTCTTCTCTGCCTCATCCAGGCTTCTCTCCCTCATATAATTTCAGTGGGGTATAAGATGCAGAGTATCTGCAAGCCCAGGGACATGGCTAGTAAGTGGTGAATGTGGCTGTAAAATGCCCAGCATGTTGTGTGAAGGGAGTGTATTAGGAAGGGATCAGAAGCTGAATTTTGGGCAAGTCTATGAAGTATAGTGAGTAAATTATATACATTTTATGCCTAGAATAGCAGGGGGCAAGGGAGCTATGCAGCAGTGTGTATGAAAGGCAGAAGCTGGGGGCACTGTGACAGGATTTGGGATGAAAAGGAGGCCAGAATCCATGGGTATAGTTACAGTCGTTTGATGTACTTTGTGTTTCCCAACTTCCTGTCCTTTAAGGTTTGTAAGTGTAAGTTCCACAGTCTAGTTTCCTCTTTCATAGAGCAGTCTATTAAGACTTATTTCACTGTTAAGTTATTGATATATATTTAAAATTTTGATTCTACTTTATAATTAGCAAATCATTTGCCTGCAATTCTTCTTTGTTTACTGTACATTATTGTTGGCTTGGAGGGCTGGGACTGCTAGGTATCATTGAAAAAAATCACAATTATCTCCTTCCTCCTTTGCCCCTTCCACCAACTGTCATGATCTTTTTGAAGCTACATTCACCAGGTGCAAAACCAGGTTCTTTTAGTAGCATGACTCCCACTACTCAGGTGTTGGAGGGAGAGGACAGCTATAACTAAAAGCTTGCTAGAGATTGCAATCTTTAGGAGTATCAGTGGCAGACTTCCCCTTCCTGTCATCCGTTTCCACTGTGTAGCTCCCTTTCTAGCCAACAGGACTAGGGAATTTCACATACAGATAAGGGGTAAGGGGTGGAGAATGCCACAGAATTCATGGCCTTCAGTTCTCATTGTTCTCTACATTAAGTACTAACAAGACATCCTAAGAAGGCAGGCAGGCTCTAGCCTGTCCCAGGCTGCAGGGTAACATGACCTTACAAGTATCTCATGAGAGCAGCATAGAGTGAAGGTAAGCAGGTAATCAACCTTGCATCATGTCCGTCTGTAGCATTAGGGATGGATCCTTCCCGCTATGTGCAGCAACAAACTTCCTCTGGTTGTATTTCTAGGGAACCCTTGAAGATCAAGTCATTGAGGCTAATCCAGCTATGGAAGCCTTTGGCAATGCCAAAACCTTGAGAAATGACAACTCTTCACGCTTTGTAAGTATTTTGCAATATATATTGGATAATATATGGTAATTATATATACAATAAATCTGTAGCTGCATATACATGAACCTACCTGCATCTACCATGTGTTTTGTGGAGCTACTTCATATAGGCAGAACAAATCATTTCCATGATTAGTAACTCTCACTGTTTGTATGGTTTGACTATAGGGCATGAGACCCTCTGCTGGTGTAAATCTCTGATTTCAGTCCATTGAAGTAATGCACTGACTTAAATTGATACTAGCTAAATCTCTGGCTCTAAAACAGGAGGCTTGCAAGGAGTGGGATGCCAGACCCAATTCAGATTGCATCAGGCCCTGGAGGGCAACTGGCAATGTTAGGAAAGATCCAGCATGAAGGGAAAACAGGAAGAACTGAGGTTGCTTATCATAACAGCCTGAAATGCCCCAATACACTGATCAAATGTACGCCCTTAGCAGTGCAGCTGTCCCTTCATCAAGCCCAGTCTCTGGCTCTTCTGTAGCTCACAGGGCTTGTTCAGCCACTGGGGCCCTTATATATCCATAACCGTGCACTGGAGATGGCAGCTCTAGCAGCGAATTTCCAGTCCTCTCTGGATTCCCAATGCCTGGGAGCATTGTGGGTGGTTCTGACCTTTAGGGAGACAATCTGCTAGAGCTGTGCAAAGCTTCAGGTGGTGATTTGATTTGGAGGAGATTCGGTGGCCGAATCTCCGAATCGAATCCAGGGACCAATTTATAGGTCCAAATCAATTCAAAGCTCTCCAAATCTTTGGCAAAGATTCAGAGAGCTTTGATGATTCAGGCTGTCCCTGGTGGCTGCAGCAGTGAGTTACAGCCACTCTGAGCTGGTCTCCCCCAGCAACCCTCATGGCTGCCCCCCCGCCCCAGCTCCGTACTTTAAAAAAAGCCCCAGTGCTCACCAGGTGCTGCTGGGTGTGGGGCAATCCCTGCTGCACCCCACTGCCCCATGCTGCATGGGGGGCTCTGCATCAGCCCCCTCGGCCCCCCAGTCCCCCCACCACGGCTGCCCTGCCTGCCGGGGCTGTGGCCATTTAAGAAAACAAAAAAGCCGAGAAAAACTCCAGGACTCACCGCTCCTGGTTCCCCAAAGCTCCTCAGGGCTTTGGGGGCTCCTACAGAGCCCTCACATGGCACAGGGCAGAAGGGATCGCTCCCTGCCAGCAGGAGCCATGAGTCCTGGGGTTTCTTCAGGTTTTTTTTTTCTTAAAGGGCTGGAGCTGACCCATGCAGGGCACCCATGAGGGAGCAGGGGTGGTGGTTCAGGGGCTCATGCAGAGCCCCCCCATGCATCTTAGGGTAGTGGGGGGCAGTGGGGATCACCCCCACCCTGCAGCACCTGCTGAGCCGGGGCTTTTTTTTCCCCAAGTGCCAGGAGCTGGGGTGGGAGGGGCAGCCATTGCCCGGCTGGGAGAGGGGTAGGGGATGGGCCTGGCCTGGCTGACTTGGAGATGTGGCCAAATCGAATCAGGACAGTGATTCGAATCACTGAATCGAACCACTGTCCCCCAAATCCGAATCTGAAGTGAATACTAGCCGCTTTGCACAGGCCTACAATCAGCTGTTGCAAGCCCCATAATTCCACAGCTCATTAGTGCTGTGGGTAGAGCATCACAGACTTCTACAAAAACACCAAGTGCTGCATTCTGCAAGAGAGCAAAATACAGGGAACCAAATCTAAGGCAAGGATTACTTCACTGCAAATCAGATTCCTACGTTTCTAGACTTTAAGGCCAGAAGGAGCCATGAGTCCCTCTCATCCAACATTCTGAGCACTGCAGGCCGCACAATCTGCACTGAACCTAATGAAATATGCTGTATTAGCAGAAAGCAGAGAGGCAGTTAGCACCCTCCAGCCACCTCCTATTTCTGAGTGGCCACCTCAAAGGACAGGGGTTTATGATTGTACCTGCCTTTGTTCATTTACCCAGACCCAGAGCTTACATCCCTCCCTCTGAATGTTTTCTAGGGCAAGTTCATCCGAATCCATTTTGGCCCCTCTGGGAAGCTGGCCTCTGCTGATATTGACATATGTGAGTAAATAACTAGCAGCAAAAGACACAGTTTGGCTGCAAATTTGTTTCTCTGTTTTAGCATTAGTACTGGATTTGTTTCAGAGAAACCCTAACCTCTTCTGCCCTGTCTGTTTCTAGACTTGCTGGAAAAATCAAGAGTGATTTTCCAGCAACCTGGAGAGAGAAGCTACCACATCTACTACCAGATCCTATCTGGGAAGAAACCAGAGCTCCAAGGTAAGGAAGTTCAGGGGAAGAGGAAGAAGAATCAGAGCATCAATCCATATAGCAGGAAATACAGGAAACTAAACGGAAGCTCGTTTAGTCTGATTTTCAGAGGCAATGAGAAATCCCAGCTCCCAGTGCGGCTACATCCTCCTGTAATGGTTCAATGCTGCCACCTGACATATGAGTTGAGAAGAGGGGAGACTGACATGAGCTCTTCAAGTGAATGTCTTGGGGACAGATAAATAAATACTTAGGGGTTGTCTGCACTGTTAGACTAGAGCTCATACAAACATCCTGGCACTGAGTTAAATTAGTACAACAGCAACATGGAGCTCAGTGGGGCCTGGCCACCTATAGATTTCATTAGCTGTGAGGAGCTGTGGAGATTTGCAGTCCACTCTGAGCTCAGGGCTGACACAGGTTGCTGGCAGTACCCGAGTAGCTGGTTTAAACCAGCCTGGGTTTGACTACCTGAGCTGTAGTTACAGCAGAGATAGCAGTGTAGACAGATCCTCTGGAGTCTCCCAGATGATCTCATCTGACCCTGCCATACTCTCACTTGAAATACACTGAGAAGTTCTGCATTCCAGGTGCCACTTAACAGGAAGTGGCAGGGGAAACATTTGCACACTGGAGCAAGATGCTTGATATGCCCCTCAGGAGTGATAAATCTCTTGGCTACTGCCTATTGAGCCTGCTGCTGGATCACAAACAATACCTTATTAGGCAGGTCTGGAGAGCTGTGCAGAGCAGTAATCTTATCTGATGGTCACATGGTCATGGATGGCCACGTCTAAATCAGGCTTCAGCTGGGCAGTGTTCCCAAGACAGCAAAGGAGAGAGGCAGCTCTAGCAGAAATGTGCTTTTCCCAGAGGCAGCCAGGGCTTACAGGGACTGACCAACAAGCTAATCCCATGAAAAACAGCTACAGCTGAGGTAGCAGACAAGACCCATCTGGAATCACACCCAGCTATGCTTCTTTCTATCCTGGCTATCAATTCTTTCAAAAATCAGTGGGGTTTCAAAGCATCCCTGTTCTGCAGCAGGATGAACCTGAGATCTTGGGAAATTTCTTGTGTAAAAAGCAAAGTCACCAGGGCCCTAAAATAGCCACGGTGTCAGTGGACAGCACACTCACCTGCAATGAGGTGCAGCTCAAGCTCCTGATTAGGATCAGGCAGACCAGGGGCTAAGCTCTGGGGCATCACACTGGAGGGACCAGAAATGTCCCAGATGTGGGAACCTTCCCAACAAAAGTTCCATTAACATTGCCAGTTCCTACAGTAAGATTTGCTTTTGACAAACCAGCATTTTCTGATGAAACCCCTTTGGTTGGGAAATTCCTTGCCCAGCTGCCATCCTGACCAATTAAGCAAAGAGGCTTGAGCTCTCCAGCTTTTCACTTCAGCCACACAGGCTTGCAGCCCTCCTGCCACTGCCAGGGCACAGAGTCAGTAACCCATTTCCTTGTAGTGGGATAAGGTGATACATACAGTGCTTCAGGGCCAGCCTAGGTGTACAGTAATGTGATGTGCGGAGCAAAAGATTCACAAGGCAAGTAGGAATAAGACCAGGACAGGAGGAGTGGCTGGGCACTAGGGCTGTGTGAAATGCCTGTGTTTCATTTCAGTTTTGGAGGAACAGTGTTTCGTTTTGGTGTTTCATAGAGCTGTCCAAAACGGCTGCTGCTAGGAGTGCTATCACGGGAAAGTGGATCCCCCTCCTCCATGTCCCCCTGCCTGTGCCCTTCTGCCTCCCAGACTCTGTTCACCAGCACCTCTGTCCAGTGATCCAGGGTTTTGCTGGCGCACATGCTCCCCTTCACCCTCGGGTCGCACACAGTTGCCAGCACATGGACCGGATTGGACCACAACGGATCCAGCCATTTCTTCATTGCCCTCCCTCGGCCACTTCACCAGTGCCTGCACCTCTGGTGACAGCAGCTGGCCCCAGCCAAGAACATCAATCCCCTGCAGCTTCTGCATTTGGTTCTCAAGTTCCCTCACTATGGGGATAAGCTGGCTAAGGAGTGCTGACGGTCTCAGTGGCCTTGAGGAATGATTTGAGGACCACTAAGATCTGGGAGATGGTATCCCACTCTGTTTTGTTAAGCAGGCCACTGATCCCAATCTCCCCAAGCAAGGCCATCTCATGGATGGCCTTCTGTTGCTCCACCAGCCTTTCCAGCATCAGGTATGTGGAGTTCCATCGAGTCTTCACATCCTGGATGATTTTGTGCTGCAGAACGCTCAGCTCTGCCTGTTTGTCCCACAACATTTTGCCCCCCTTGATGCTCTGGTGGAAGTAGCCCACCACCTTCCTGCACTCTGAAATGAGATGGCCAGTTGTGATGGCGCCATCACTGGAAGCCCTGTCCCCCTCCAAGGCATCCCTGACTACAAGGTGAAACTTGTGTACCACACAGTGGATGCCAACAAAGTTGGCATCACAGACCACCTTGACCATATTGGCTCCGTTGTTGGTGACCATGAACCTGCAGGTGAGCTCGCCCTTCCCAATGAGCCACCCCTGCACCATGCGGTTCATGGCCCCATGATTTCCATTGCTGTGTGGGACTCATCCATCACCTCAACTTGAAGAAGAGCCCACCGACAGTCTGACTAATTGCACCAGTGCCCTGTGAGGGAGAGGTAGGCATGATCCCCAGCTGCTCCATATGTTGGAAGTGAAATGCAAGGGCACCTGTGGACCTGCCTTGTGCAGCTCCTCCCTCAAGTACTCCCTGCATGCTTCATACAGGGAGGGCACCACTGCTGAAGGTGGTGCATGCAGGCACTTGGTAGGATGGGGCCACAGGTACCATGAGCTTTCTGAACCCTGGCCGCTCAACTAGGGAGAAGGGCTGGCCATCCAGAGCAAGCATCTCCCCAATGCTCTGGGTGATCTTGCTCACCGTTGCAACGTGCCCTGCTTTCTGTCCGCCTTTGCCCCACTGTTCCAGGGTCCCCTGCCTCTGCTTCGGCAGGACAGAAGCTTTGGAGGGAGAGGGGAACTTCTTTTTGGGCATGCTTCCACTGGTGCCAGGCTGAGGAGGAGCAAAGGCAAGGGGGTGGTGCTTCGTGAGATGCATCAGCATCCCCATGGTGCTGAAGTGTTTCTTCTTCTTGCCCTGGTTGGTCTTATATTGGCAGTGCAAACAGATAGCATACCTGGGATCATCTGCCACCTCAAAATGATCCCACACCACACTACCCCCCTCCAATGTTCCCTATAAGGAGTAGCAGTCCGTGAGCACGCCCCTCGGTCCGGGAGCGTGCCATCTCAGTCCAGTGTGGGACACTTACTGAAGAGGGCTGGGTGCCGGGGGCTGGAGCAGAGAGGCTGGGGGCCAGAGGCTGGTTCTAGGGGCTGGAGGCTGGAGCCGAGAGGCTGAGGGCCGGAGGCTGGGGCCAGGGGCTGGAGGCTGGAGCTGGGGGCTAGAAGCTGGGGCTGGAGGCTGGAGCTGGAGGCTGGGGCCAGGGGCCAGGGGCTGGAGCTGGGGGCTGGCATGGGCTCTGCTGGCTCTGGGGGAGTGCTCCACAAGCTTACAGATGCTGCTCTCTGCTGCTGCTTCTGCTGTAGACAGATGCAACTGCAAAATGGCAGAGAGCAGTTCACAAACAGCTCAACTCTGAAACAGCTTTGAAACACCTGAAACATTTCCAAAACGTTTTGGATGGCCTGTTTCATTTTGGAGCTATTTCAGAGCCTTGCATTTCATTTCAGATTAGGTGTTTTGACTGCCAGGATGTCCGAATTTGAAACGAAACAAAATTCCTGC